TGAGGATCCTAGGGGGCCTGGGTCCCACCTAGCCACAGGTTCTCATCTTGGCTGAAACTGAGGATCACCTGGGAGAACAGAATTGGCTGGAGCAGGGCTCAGGCATCAGTTTTCTACGGGTCGTCAGTTGGTTCTAATGTTAGCGAGAGTGCAGAGTCATAGCTATAGGCCTAATTTATTTTCTGACACTTTTTTTTTTAGAGTAGACTCTTCGCTCTGCTTCACTCGTGCCAGTAGATGTGGTCTGCGCCACTGCAACCTCCGCCCTTCTCCGGTTCAAGCGATTCTCCTGCCTCAGCCTCCCAAGTAGCTGGGACTACAGGCCATGCACCACTACGCGCCCATCTAATTTTTTTTTTTTTAGTAGAGATTGAGGTTTTCAAGGATGGTCTCGATCTCCTGACCTCGTGATCTGCCTGCCTCGGCCTCCCAAAGTGCTGGGATTACAGGTGTGAGCCACTGCACCCGGCCCAGTGTCTTCTTATTATGCCTCTCTTGCCTTTTTTTAGGGAAATAGTAAAAAAAAAAAAAAAGTCCTTAAGTTCAGACCTATGCTAGAGTTATATTTCTGAGGAGCATCTGAGAGAAATGTGAATTTTTATCCCTTTTCTGGGTGACTTATTTTTATTTGTTGGCCAGCTCTCTTCACTTCTTGTGGGTTGGTGCCTTTGCCTCCTGCTTCTTTGTCTCTTCATTCTCTGTCCCCGTCATGATGGACACTGTGAATGTCAGTCACTGATATTTCTGAGTCTAAATGGCGGCATGTTGGGTTACGAACTGCTTCCTTTGAGAGCCATCTGCAATTAAATTCAAGGGGTTTAGCCTTTATATCCAATATTTATTTATTTATTAGTTTTTGAGACAGAGGTTCACTCTTGTTGCCCAGGCTGGAGTGCGATGGCATGATCTCGGCTCACTGCAATCTCTACCTCCTGGTTTCAAGCGATTCTCCTGTCTCAGCCTCCTGAGCAGCTGGGATTATAGACACCCGCCACCACGCCTGGTTATTTATTTATTTATGTATTTGAGATGGAGTTTCGCTCTTGTTTCCCAGGCTAGAGTGCAATAGTGCGATCTCAGCTCACTGCAACCTCCGCCACCCAGGTTCAAGCGATTCTCCTGCCTCAGCCTCCCGAGTAGCTGGGATTACAGGCGCCTGCCACCACGCCTGGCTATTTTTTTGTATTTTTAGTAGAGATGGGGTTTTGCCATGTTGGCCAGGCTGGTCTTGAACTCCTAACCTCAGATGATCCACCCTCCTCGGCCTCCCTAAGTGCTGGGATTACAGGTGTGAGCCACTGTGTCTGGCCTTGGATCCAAATTTAAATCCAAAATTGGATTTACCAATTAAATCCAAAAGGGAGCTGAGTGAGGTGGTGTGTGCCAGTAGCTCTAGCTACTTGGGAGGCTGAGGCAGGAGGATGGCTTGAGTCCAGGAGTTTGAGGTAAGCTTCGGCAACATAGTGAGACCTCATCTCTATTAAAGAAAAAAAACCCCAGCTGATTGTGGTGGCTCACACCTATAAATCTAGCCACTCAGGAGGCTTAGGTGGGAGAATTGCTTGAGCCCAAGAGTTCAAGGCCAGCCCGGGCAACATAGCAAGACCCTGTCTGAATTAAGAATCTTAGATGGAAGCTGTGTAGCCCATAACTTGGCCTGTTCTCTTTTGAGGCAGGAGGTATTTAGGGGGATGAGAGAGCAAACCAGTTCTGCAGTTTTTTATGTGGCAACTCTGGCCTCAGACTACAGAGCTTTCTCCTAGCCTGAGAGGCTCCTTTCTGTCAGTAGCCTTGGAAACGGTGTTGCTCCCTGGCAGTGTTTACCCAGCCGCTGTCCCCTGGTGAGTTCAGAGCCAGGTGATCGGCAGTGCTCCCTCTTAATGACTGTGTTTCATCTGCAGGGCGAACACTGTTGGAGAAGCTGTTCAGCCAGCAGGAGAACGGGCCTCCAGAAGAAGCAGAGAAGTTTTGCTCGCGGATCATTGCCATGGGTCTTCTCCTTCCTTTTAGTGATTGCTTCAGGGAACCGTGTAATCAGAATGCCCAGACCAATGCAGCTTCGTTTGATGTAAGTAGGAGAAATCACTTCTGTCTGTGAGGCAGATTCGCTGTTGAAATAGCAACTATGATGTGTGTCTGCCCAGTCACCCTATAATTTAAAAACAACATGTGATGCAAGCATTTTTTTTTCCTTAGCTGCTCAACAGCTCAGTATGTCTGTTTGTACACTAAAAAAAAAAAAAACTAGAGTATTAAGTACATTTGCCAAACCTCCTTTTCTTAACAGATGGTCACTCAGGAGTTCTCTAGCCTGCTTTAATCAGCGATGATTTTAAAAATTGATTTCTGAATTATTTTTAATTGTGGTAAAATACAGATAACGTAAAATTTACCATTGTAACCATTTTTAAATGTACCGTTTAGTGGCATCAAATACATTGATGTGGTTGTGCATCTACCACCACCATCCATCTTTAGAACTCTTTTTTATCATCCAAAATAAACCCTGTACCCATTAAACAATAACTCCCCATTCTCCTCTTTCCCCAAGCCCCTAGCGACCACCATTCTCCTGTCTCTGTGAATCTGACTACGCTAGGTAGCTCATATAAGTGGAATCATGCAGTATTTGTCCTTTTTTGTGGCTGGCTTATTTCACTTAGCCTAATGTCTTTGAGATTCATCCATGTTGGAGCATGTGTCAGAATTCCCTTCCTTTTTAAGGCTGAATAATATTCCACTGTAGGTATATGTCACATTTTGTTTATCCATTCATCCATCAATGGACACTTGGCTTGTTTCCACCTTTTGCTATAATGCTGCTATGAATATGGGCTCATAATGAGTGAATAATGCCGCTGTGAACATGAGGTACAAAAACGCTTCAAGACTCTGGAATCAGCGATGATTCTAAAGTGGCTGTAAGTCAGTATTTATGACTTTGCTGGTCGTAGGCATTCCTTCAGAAGCAGCTCCACCGGGCACAGTTATTCCTCCCAGTGGGCCGGAGGTTTCCATGGGCCCTACAATGCTATTTTGGTGCGTTCCTAACTCATGTATGTGTGAAGTACGGACATGAAGCAGCATCATCTGCTTCATCCCCAGCTCCCATTCACCGAGAGAGTTAATACTGTAGAACAGTAATTCACCAGGCATATTCACAGTTCATAACGAATATGAGCACAGCTGGATTCTCATTGTCGAGACAGAGTATTGCCAGTCATTCTCAGGTATGTGGTATATGTGTGGCATTGGTTGGGATGAGTACCTCTAAAACCCAGATGTGTAAGAATTCTCATGTGTGAAATTCTCATAACGAAATTGAAGATTGGTCCACTTGTGCAGAGCCCAGGATTTTTATTTGAGGATAATGGTTTTTCTTTTTCTTTTACTCTTTTTTTTTTTTTTTTTTTTGAGATGGAGTCTCACTTTGTTGCCCAAGCTGGAATGCAGTGGTGCTATCTTGGCTCACTGCAACCTCTGCCTCCCAAGTTCAAGCAATTCTCCTGCCTTAGCCTCCCGAGTAGCTGGGATTACAGATGCGCACCACCATGCCCGGCTAATTTTTGTATTTTTAGTAGAGATGGGGTTTCACTATGTTAGTCAGGCTGTTCTCGAACTCCTGACCTCGTGATCCACCCTCCTCAGCCTCCTAAACTGCTGGGATTACAGGCGTGAGCCACTGCGCCCGGCTGTGGTTTTTCATCATATGGGTTATTTACTTTGTTTTGTTACTGCCAACTGTGCTCTCTTAGCCTTCTTCAATATATGGGAATGAAATAATGATGAGTTTTAAAGACAATGAAAATGAGCCCTGGCTAAGGTCAAGATACGATAATAAATAATGAAGTGTCTGTATCTGTACACTTTGCTTCCTCTTCTTTACCCATTACAGCCTGCAGTCTTCCTCAATCTTCCTTTAGCATTAGGGAAATAAATCACACAAAATATTTGGAGATCTTCTTGATTCTTGATGCTTCCCATTTGAAAGAAAATTCCCCATGTTGTGCTGTGTGTGACTTGGCAAGTTTCCTTCCTGAGATTTGTTTACATTTTTCCTGCTGCAATTTTTAAAAATGACATTGCAGCTAATCACTACTAGGTAGATCTTTTTCTCTTATGGGGAAAATTTGTGTAATTTAAATGTTTTCCTCCCTTCTCTTCTATGAGAGATCTGTGTTATTGTAGAGGCAGAATGCTAGAATGATGGTGTGTTAAATATTATAGAACTCAGTTCTAGAAGATATATTGATTTGGCAAGTTGGAACTATAATTAGTATAGTGCAGGCAAAGGCAAACACTAGCCATGTCTAGCACTTGCTTTTTGATTCAAACTGTTCCCAAGTTAACGACATTTTCCTCCCTTAAATCCCAGAAGTGAACAGTCTTGCCAGTCAATGAATGTAGAATTGGATAAACAGAAAAGAAAGGGTAATCCTGTTTCTTTCTCTCTCTATTTTTTTTTAATCGACTAACCTGGTTGTTTCTTATACTCACCTCACTCTATCCTTGTGTTAGAGACTAGTAACTCTTCCCCGTCATCTTATTTTGGAGGGCAGCTGGGTGTGGCATCGAGTGTGAAAAACAAACAACAAAGGAATACAATGCCTTGATGTTGTGTGAAGGCTTTCCTCAGAATCGGGAATTTCTTTCCTTCAACTTGATGGGATTGCATTTTGTCTTCCTTTATTCACTGGCTCTGTACGACCTCTCTACTCCCCCTTCAAAATGAACACAAAACAAAGAAAAAAACTGAAGATACTCTTGTATGAAATGTTATGCCCTATACTTGAATAGCAGCTCAGCAACAGAACTATGCGTTTATTGGATGTGTAGTCAAGGAGTTTCTTGAAAACCCGGAGAGGGTGACGATATAATGATACAGGGGGTTCTGAGGACTGGGGTGTCAATGAGGGATGGGGAAAAATGTGCTTATCTATGGGGAGAGAAATTTCCGATAATTAGTCTCTCTGCTGATTTCCAGAAAATAGCTGTTGGGAACATTTCTAACTAACAGTCCTCTTGAGATCAGTTGCCCTTCGAGACAGAACATGCTGTGGGAATAAGGTCATAACTGGCACCCTTCCTACCTCCCCACCCCCCCAACTTTGTTCCCTTCCCTAATGGGATCCTCTCTCCCACCTCCCACTCCTCTCCCTTCTCATCTCTGCACTTACCTCTGCAATTACAGCAATAAATATCTTCAGTTTGAGGCTCTTCACTGATGTAGTTTATGTATTAGCCTACTTGACTCAACCCTTCTGATTTTGTTTTATGTTATTTTATACAGTTTTAGGGCCTAACATTTTGCTTTATCGAGTGCTGTAGAAAGTATGAAAAACAATTGCACATTTTGTCTTACCTTTTAACATGACTAAGATGTCAAGAACTTTAAAAGACAAAGATGGCTTTGAGTGATCCTGTTAATTCATTCACAGATTTTTACCAAATATATTCGTTCTAGAAGCCGGGTAGTGTTGTAGTCTCTGGGGATGTGTTAGTGAGCAGGAGAATGTGTTCTGTTGAAATGTGTGACCTATTCAAAAGGGAGGGAGACAGATTTTGTAAAAATGCACAGGCTAATGAATTGCTCTTAGATTCTAATAAGTGATATGAAGGAAAACAGGACTAACAGGATGGAGTGAAAGGCATGGGGTAGGATGAGTGCAGAGGGGAGCCCTGTGAGGTGAGGTCTGTGGGAAGGCCATTCCAGGCAGCTCCCAGGGCAAGTCCAAAGGGCATCATTGGAAGAGCACAAGCATGACTCAGAGCAAGCTGGAGCTTCGAGAGATGAGGACAGCAAGGGCTCAGGCCATAGCATAGGTAGGGTCTGAAAAGCCATGGAAGGAATATGGCTTTTTTGTTTTTGAGACGGAGTCTTGCTGTATTGCCCATGCACAATCAGAGGCATGACCTTGGCTCACTGCATCCTCTGCCTCCTGGGTTCAAGCAATTTCTGGCTAATTTTAGTATTTTTAGTAGAGACAGGGTTTCGCCATGTTGGCTAGGCTGGTTTTGAACTCCTGACCTCAAGTGATCTGCCACCTCGGCCTCCCAAAGTGCTAGAATTACAGGCGCGAGTCACCACACTTGGCCTTTTTTTTTTTTTAATGGGAGGTTTTGGGAGGCTTTATGCAGGGGAAGAACGTATTTGTCTTATAATATTCTTTTGTGGATCACCTGGGCTGGTCTTGGTTTGTTTGTTGTGGTGGTGGTTGTTTTTGAGACAGGGTCTCACTCTGTTGCCCAGGTTGGAGAGCAGTAGTGCAATCACAGCTCACTGCAGTCTTGACCTCCTGGGCTCAAGCGATCCTTCCACCTCACCCTTCTGAGTAGCTGGGACTACAGGCATGAGCCACTGTGCCCAGCTAATTTTTTAAGTTGTTGTTATAGACAGGGTCTCACTGTGTTGTCCCAAGTTGGTCTTGAACTCCTGGGGTCAAGCAGTCCTCCTGCCTCGGCCTCCCAAAGTGCTAGGATTATAGGCGTGAGCCACCATGCCCGCCCCCAAGCCTGCTCTTTGAATGTTTGAGTGTAGGCAGGCGCAGAAGTAGAAGCAGGAAGGCAGGTGGGATATCGCAGTAGTTTAGTTCTAGATGGTGGCAGTAGCTTGGGGCAGGATGGTGACAGGGGAGATGAAGACCAGTTAGTAGGTTGGTGTGGATTCTGGAGGTATGGCTGATGGGACTTTTGGTGGGGTAGACATGGCAGCAAGAGAACACAAGGAAATCAAGGATGACTTCTTGATTTGAAGTAGCTGGGTGGATGGTTATGCAATTCATGAGGTAGAGAAGACAGCTCCATTTTGGGAGGAGGACGTAAGGATAGAACTGCTAGCAAGAGAAAACAGGGATAATACTAATGCTTACTACTTGGCAGATTGTATTGCTGACTTATAGATCATGGTATATTTCAGTGGTCTGAGGCTAGGCTTCTTTGTTTATTTGGAACCTATTTTAGTCATCTCTCTCATGCCTTTTTCAAAATGGCGTCCCTTTTTCTGGGTCATATGCGTATTTTCCAGCCAACCACACTTATCTTACATAATTGTTGATTATTCATTAACAA